CCACTAGTTGACCTCCACTAGTTGACCTCCACTAGTTGACCTCCACTAGTTGACCTCCGCTAGTTGACCTCCACTAGTTGACCTCCACTAGTTGACCTCCACTAGTTGACCCCACCCTCTACCCTGCCTTGTCTCTACACTCATAGCAATGAGTGAGACGTTGTCCGCATATCGATGCACTTCTTGACTTGTGTGTGCCGTGTATACCCACTTAAGCCCGGGCGTATCAGTGCTACGTGCAGGAAGTGTGTCACTATTTGGACAACTTGATCCACTTAGACCATAAGGAAGATATTGCGATATGTTGTGTAATATTAATACAAGCTACTAGCATCTGCTAATTAATATTTACTAGTTATGCAATGCCTAGTGACTAGTTACTAGTCTTGCCTCAACTATTTACTATGAAGAACCATTAGTTGATTTTCTGAGGCTGATTTTCTTTACCACGCACACCACACTCACGCTCACCACACTCACGCTCACCACATTCACGCTCACCAAACTCACGCTCACCACATTCACGCTCACCACACTCACGCTCACCACATTCACGCTCACTTCAGTCACGCTCACCATATACACGCTCACCACACTCACGCTCCTCACATTCACGCTCACCACATTCACGCTCACCACACTCACGCTCACCACACTCACGCTCACCACATTCACGCTCACTTCAGTCACGCTCACCATATACACGCTCACCACACTCACGCTCACCACATATACGCTCACCACATTCACGCTCACCACATTCACGCTCACCACACTCACGCTCACCACATTCACGCTCACCACATACACGCTCACCACACTCACGCTCACCACACTCTTTGTGTAGTTACGTGTAGTTCACTTTTTGTGTCACTAATTAGGTCATTGAGTCACTTATTGCGTCACTAGTTACGATGCAATCAATTATAACAATCAATCGCAGGCAATAAAATTAAGATAAATCAATTTTATTGAGAAAATTAATCAAAATAATAGCATCATTATTGAATCATTAATAAATCAGAAAAATTACTTCGTGACCACAAAAATGAATACATACAATATAATTTTTTAATTAGTATCAGAATTTTTTTTACCGCATTACTTGTGATTGCAGGCGTGTGCCGCGCTGATAAGTTCAAGTGCGCCAACGGCCGCTGCATATTCGAGACGGAGCGGTACAACGGATTCGACGACTGTGGCGACGGCAGCGACGAGCGCGACTGTGAGTTGCCTGATGAGTCAAACGCTTCCGCGCAATTCTACTGTCTTTTATTTCGACTTAATATGATGTTCTATTTCTGCTCTTAATGTTAAATTATTTTATCGAATTGTAAAATTATTGAATATAATTAATCCTCGACTGCATGCAATTATATTGTTTTGCAACAACAACGTATTGTGTCACTAGTTACGTCACTGAATCATTTATTGCGCCACTAATTGCTTCATTGAGTCACTTATTGCGTTACTAGTTTCTTCACGGGGTCACTTATTGCGTCACGAGTTACGTCATTGAGTCACTTATTGCGTTACTAGTTTCGTCACTGGGGTCACTTATTGCGTTACTAGTTACAACGCAATCAATTATATTAATCAATTGTAATCAATAAAGCAATACTGAATATACCTTAATGATGTGTATTCAGTGATGCCATCCTTCCCTGGGCTAGCCTTCCCTGGGTCACCTCTCCCTATTCCACCCTCCCTGGTCACACAATTTATATCGGTTTGTATAGGCATCATGAAATTACTTTCTTTGCTCTCACCTCTGTTGGACTCTGGTTGAAGAACCTGTGATTAATCGCCGAGATTCGAACCTCTGCCAAGACTGCAATCGGACTCTCGCAAGCAGACACCTTAGTCCGCTCAGCTACGAAGACGGCAGTTACATAGCGTCGCAGTTTTTGCTTTGAGTTGCACGTTGTGCTACTACAATAAATCCTCGATTTTATGATAAACTTCTTGTGTGATTGAATGGTATAGACTTCGCTCGCTAACATTACTACTATTGACAAAAGAACAGCAGTGAGTTGAAACACGAAACCACGAGTATTTGATGTCACATAAACGTTCACAAACTATTTTAAAACGCGTATATTTGAAATTTATCTGCTTCCCTGACTAAATAGAAATATATTTACAGCTCATTTCAATATAAATATATTTATATCTCACTTCCAATTTCCTCGTCCAAAACTGCTTTGATTAATATTTCTACCTTGTGTACTAATATTAGAATCTGTCGTCAAATCTTAGCACTGCACTTAATCGCATATTTTAGAATCCTACATATATTTCTCTATTGGAGGCTTAGGAAACGTGGCTCATCGACATTTTGTCAGGAAATACTTTTTACATCGTGAAATTCATTGATAAATTTGACCGCATAATGGTCCACAGAGTAGCTGGGCGAATTAACCGTATTTTCAGTGGAGATTCGTGACATTCATGAGCGGCGGCTCCACACAACCATCCCCTATGAGAGCATTCGGCGCACTGGCTCCGGCGCACGCCGCACACATGCAGCAACACAAGCACGTCGAGACAGCTATCACATACTGAGACGCTTAAGAGTCGGGTGGAGCGGCCGTCAGGCGCGTTAATCCCTATGATGGTTCTCAACAATGAAGGCAATCAACAACTCTCCTCCTAAATAAGATACAAGTCTGAAATTTGGAATGGTGATCTGGCTAATTATTTTCAATTAACGGACAGTGAGATATATTATGTAAACTATGTACTATCACTTTTATCGCGAACAAAAATTTTAAACCATATGAGGATCGTAAAATGAGCGACTTTTTCTAGCGCGACAACATTTTCTAACATTTTCGCGACACAAGTTAATTTAACTATTTATTCTTCATTGATCTCTACACAAAGCATTTCTGAATCATTCTTTTAGCATTAGATATTAGTAGACATTATTAGTGGTAAGTGAAAATTCCATAGATTTAAGCAAGATCTGACCCATTGTCATACCGGGTGTAGGCGCAGTCTACCCTATGACAATAAATCTTCTGTCGTTCGAGGTAAACATTCCTTCTTCCCTCCCTCTTCACTTCGCAGTTCCTTTCGATCAGCTTCCAAAGCCCTTGTCTGAAGCTGCGGAGTCTTTTAAAGGGTCTAAACTAACAATGCATGTTTCAATGCATCGTCAATAATATGAAAATGTTGTTAAGGTGATCGTAAATGAGTATCATGCGTTAAGATGATTACGAAGAATTAACCGAAATAATGTTTTAATAAAATGTATAAAAAAAATTTTTAAAGACTACGTTTTTCATGTGGACTCAAAAGTAGAAAATAATTTTTCGGCAGCTACTGATCTCTGTTTGCTTTCATTCTCTTGGTCTTTTGTATTTCAGTTAAAATATTTTACAACTAAACGGANTGCCACTAGTAGTGACTGCTTGCCACTAGTAGTGACTGCTTGCTACTAGTCGTGACTGCTTGCCACTAGTAGTGACTGCTTGCCACTAGTAATGACTGCTTGCCGCTAGCGGTGACTGCTTGCCGCTAGTAGTACTTGCTTGCCGCTAGTAGTGACTGCTTGCCACTAGTAGTTCATTGTGCTGGTATTGCCTGATAACCACTAGGTGCTCCATAGTTGCCTTCTAGCTTCCACTAGTGGTTTTTCTCCCTCCTATAGTTGCTACCAGGAGCAGAAACTAGTAGCTAACATTAGTGGCGGCCGGCACTTCTTCTGTTAGCCTTTGTTGCTGCCACTAGTGACTTACGCTGAAGAGCATTCCTTGCTACTGCTTTGCTAGTGTGGCAGTAGTGACCTCACTATTGCATGTATGCCACACGCTACACCTTTGACCTCCACTAGTTGACCTCCACTAGCTGACCCTCACTAGTTGATCCTACTATTTTACCCCCACTAGCTGACCCCCACTGGTTGACCTCCCACTAGTTGACCCTCTCTATTTGACCCTCATTAGTTGACCCTCACTAATTGACCCCCACTAGTTGACCCTCATTAGTTGACCCCCACTAGTTGACCCCAATAGTCTACTCCCACTAGTTGACCCCCACTAATTGATCCCCTACTAGTTGATCTCCCACTAGTTGACCCTCACTAGTTGACCCACACTAGTTGGCCCCACTAGTTGACCCCCACTAGTTGATCCCCACTAGTTGACCCTCACTAGTTGACCCACACTAGTTGGCCCCACTAGTTGACCCCCACTAGCTGACCCCCACTGGTTGACCTCCCACTAGTTGACCCTCTCTATTTGACGTTGGCCCCACTAGTTGACCCCCACTAGTTGATCCCCACTAGTTGACCCTCACTAGTTGACCCACACTAGTTGGCCCCACTAGTTGACCCCCACTTGTTGATCCCCCTAGTTGATCCTCACTAGTTGACGCCCTCTAGTGTCCGGTATAAATTCTTGCTTCTCCTCAATTTCTGTGCCATCTAATGCCAAGTAGCGACATTACTTCGAACTGGTGCCGTTGAACTGCATATTGATCACTAGGGCCCAATCGTAGATTGACGATAGATCATCCTGTAATCTCTCGCAGTCTTAGTCATCTGTGATCCACGTCAGCACTCTTGTATCGTCCGCAAAGGACGATGTATATGCGTGGGTGATTTCCGAGTCTATATCGGCAATGTGGATGAGGAAGAGGATCGGTCCAAGCACTGAGCCCTGCGTAACTCCGCTTTTCACCCTCGCTTCTATCGATTTAGAGTTTCCAATTGCGACAGCTTGTACTCTATCTGTAAGGAAGTTGTGGATCCACCTCGACAGGCTTCCTCCTACCCCCAACAGCCTCAGCTTTCTAACGAGCACCCCATTGTCAACTTTGTCAAAAGATTTAGTAAAGTCCATGTATACCACGTCCACGTCAGCTCCTTCTTCCAGGTGGACCATTAGACGATGATGGTGCTCCAGTAACTGCGACAAACAGGTACGATTATGCCGGAAACCATGTTGTCCGTTACTATACAGGTCAGCCTCTTCCATATACCGGACAAGACTCCTGGCCACTACCTTCTCAAAAACCTTGATTACATGTGAGGTCAAGGTCACAGGTCTGTAATTTTGGGGTCTGTCCCTCGCACCTCCTTTGTGGATTGGAGTTATCAGTCCTACTTTTAGGCCCTCGGGAATAATTCCCTCCATCATCGAGGCTTTCCAGAGCATTGTGAGCGGAGCCTTCAGCGCTCCAACACACTTTTTCAACAGTACTGCCGGAATTCCATCGGGTCCTTGCGCTGAGAACGTCGCTAATTCTTTGATACTTATTTCCACATCTTCTGACCCGAACTCAATGTTCTCCAATCCCCTTCCCCCTGGTAGTTCATGGAGAACTTCGATTTCATTCTCCTCCCTTTAGTAGCGAGGGTTACGGAAGACTGATTCAAACTGCGATCCCAGTAACTCACACATACCCTGGTCATCTCCGACAAGGACATCGTTATTCTTCAGCGGGCCCACTGGCGTCTTTATTTTAGCCTTTGTCTGGGCGTATTTGTAAAAGTACTTCGGGTTTTCTCTGATTACCTCCACTACTCGTTCCTCGGCAGCTTGTTCTTTTATCCTATGCGAGTCCTGCAACCTGAGTTCAATTTCATTGTGCAAATCTACTAGTCTCTGTCTCCTTAACTAGTCTTGCCTCAACTATTTACTATGAAGAACCATTAGTTGATTTTCTGAGGCTGATTTTCTTGACCACGCTCACCACACTCACGCTCACCACACTCAAGCTTACCACACTCTCACGCTCACCAAACAGCTCACCAAACACTCACGCTCACCACACTCGCGCTTACCACACTCACGCTCAATTACTTTGTGACGACAAAAAATGAATACACACATTATAATTTTTTAATTAGGATCTGAAAATTCTTCACCGCATTACTTGTGATTGCAGGCGTGTGCCGCGCTGATAAGTTCAAGTGCGCCAACACCGGCCGCTGCATAGACGAGACGTATCGGTGCGACGGACGCAACCTCTGTGGCGACGACAGCGACGAGCGCGACTGTGAGTTGCCTGATGAGTCAAACGCTTCCGTGCAATTCTACTGACTTTTATTTCGAGTTAATATGAGGATCTGTTTCTGCTCTTAACATTCAATTATTTTCCCGAACTATAATATTATTGAATAATTCCTCGACTGCATTCAACTATAACGTTTCACAAAAACAATATATTGCGTCACTAGTTACTTATCTCGTCACTTATTGCGTCACTGGTTTCGTCGCGGGGTCACTTATTGTGTCACTAATTAGGTCATGAAGGTCACTTATGTGTCAAAATTTACGTCCCAATCAATTATATCAATCAATTGTGTTCAATAAAACATAATTAAATATAAATTAATGATATGTATTCAATGATGCCACCCCTCCCTGGCCCACCCCGCCCTTGATCGCCCCTCCCTGAGCCACCCTCCCCGTATCACTCCTTCGTGGGCCACCACTCTCTGGATCACCAACATTCAATTATTTTCTTGAACATAAATGAATTATTCCTAAATTGCATTCAATTATAACGTTTCACTATCGAATTATTTTCAATGTTTCGCAAGCATGCTATGACTAAAGTCGAGTTGTCGAATTTGACCTCTTCTGGGGCCTGGATTTTCTTTCCACAGGAAGTTTTGGGCCGCTGAACCCATTGCATATTGAAAAATTTTCCCACCTCTTCTGATGCGATGTTATAAACAACACATACATCACATTCTTACCCCCTACACATTCTTCCTCGCCTCGCGTTCTGGGACGCCGATCACCCTGCATAAAATTAGTTATTTATGTTAATTAGTTAGCCCGACATTCAAGGCTTCCTTGATTTATCGCAGGCTGCACCGGCGACCATTTCGTGTGTGGCAACGGCAGATGCATCCACAAGCGTTGGGAATGCGACGGCTGGTACAACCAGTGCGGGGACTGGAGTGATGAGAAGCATTGTGAGTACACGGCTGATGTAATGAGTCAGTAAGTGTGTGTGTCATCACATCATGAGTTGGATAGGTTAGGTTAGGTTAGGTTAGATAGCGCCAATACAATCGACAATCCTTGAAAGTAAATACATACAATCAGTTAATAATCATAAATTCACTGTCAAACATTAGAACCTAAAAGTGACTAAACAAAAGACATTATCGAACTGACGATGGAGTTAGACTGAGAAAAGTTTTATTTTATAAAGATATGGTGAATTTTTGTTTCATCTTACACGCATTCACATGATCCTAGTCCAAAATACTGGCACTAGACTCCCCACCTCCACCCCTGTATTCATAACCACCAGCCCCACATACTCTACGCTACGGAATACCTGCATCACGAGCAATACTTAACGAAAAATTTAAAGTTCGTAAGTCCGTCAGCCAATCACTGACGGCTTTTCCAGCTAAACCCACCAATCGCAGGCCAGAAATCGTCCGCTCGATTTCCCAGCATCACCATCCGTCATTATCGTCGTCATCACCCTCCCTCATCACCATAAATTTTATATTTAATATAAAAAAGGCCTCTGAATATTGAACTAATCATCTTTATTGTTTTAATACCTACACCCAACCCCACACACCTACCGCCAACCAACACGCGTCGCTAGTGACTGTTGACCACATCACTAGTGACCACTGCTATTGACACTTGCTCGTATGTCAGACACTAGTTAAGGTGGTCCACTAGTTCTACAATTCTCACTATTCCACTCCATGTACGGTGCACTTACTGTTGCTGATTGTATAGTGTATCTAGCCGCAACGATTATCACTAGTATCACTACCACTAGTGTCACTATCACTAGTG